TGTAAATGTGTGTGTGTGTGTGTCTGTAAATGTGTGTGTAAATGTGTGTGTGTGTGTGTCTGTAAATGTGTGTGTGTGTGTGGCTGTAAATGTGTCTGTAAGTGTGTGTGTGTGTGGCTGTAAATGTGTCTGTAAGTGTGTGTGTGTGTGGCTGTGGAGAGAGTGTGTGTGTGTTTGGCTCTGGAGAGAGAGTGTGTGTGTGTGTGTGTAGAGCCAGACACAGGCTGAGTGTGTGTGGCTCTGGAGAGAGTGTGAAGTGGGGTCCATTGTTTGGCGGCCAGCTGTGGTTCCGGTTGTAACTGCCTGCGACAGCTGCTTTGTGAAGGGTCAAACAACCGTTTTCTGACCATCACTGGACGGAAATGAAGGCCGCTTTTTTACCTTAATGGACGCTAAAATGTTGCCCAAACTTTACTGGCTCTGCTTTGTGGTCTGTTACAATCTGTTTAAATTAGGGACGTCAACATCCAAGTTTTTGAGCTTCCGATCCCGGCCTATCAGAGCATGTGTTAAAGTTTAAAGTTATTTATCTACTTACTCTGATAACAACTAGCCAGCTGAATTAGGGGAGTTTGAATAATAAAAAATGGTTGGTAATGGACCTGTTTATTCAGGTATAAACACAAAATAGACCAAATTATAAATAACAAACAGAAATGGCATCAGTACAAAGTGCTAATAATATTGTAGACTCTATTAAAAAAGCAAAACACACAAACAAACTGAATAGAAAACCATTGCGTTTTTCTTATTTGCCTACAGTCTATGCTCATCTCCCATCAAAAGTGGCACTGCCCCCTAGAGGGTCAATTTGTTACTACATGTTTCATCATTTTCGTCCTTAAGGATAAAATAATCTCACACAACTAACATTTTTACCGATAGCTGACACAGACCTGGGGGTCAGGAGATGCCAATGCTAAAGGCTGTGCTGGACAATAACCAGACTGGATATTAGGGAACAACACAGCAAAGTGGAATGGATTATTTTAATCGATGTGCTGGGAAACAGAATAGTTTTTATTTTATTTTAAACTGGATCGGGAGTCTGGATCGGCATTTTCTCATGCCGGCTGATATGCATTTTTTTGCAAATATCGGCATCTATTTATACATCGGGAGTAAGAACAGTGCTTACCTGTTTACTTTTATTCATAAAATTAACTTTATTAGGACAGATTATGGTCACAAGCAGTGCGACTCTTGAGCCAAAGGTCAGCAGACCCAGCTCAGAGTTCAGAGGTCAATATGATATCAGTATCAGAAACACTTTAATAATCCCAGAGGGAAATAATTTTTGTTACTAACTCCAGAAATTCAATTACATTTTATTTATTTATATAGCGCCACATCACAACAACAGTTGTCTCACAGCGCTTTCCAAACAGAGCAGGTCAGACCCTACTCTGAAGTTAATTACAGAAACCCAACAAATCCCACCATGAGCAAGCACTAGGCGACACAGGCAAGGAAAAACTTCCTTTTAACAGGCAGGAACCTGGAGCAGAACCATGGCTCAGGGTAATAAAACAGCATATACATATAAATATATACACAAAATTCCACACAGAATATAAATAAATATATACATAAGTAACTACGTGTTGTCCAAAATAGGTCTAAAATAAGCGATAGTAATTGATAGGGATAATGTCAATAATTTAATTAGAATTAGTTCTCTTTCCCACTGAAGCCATATTTGGAGGGCAGTGCTGCTTTGTGCTGGTTTTCCTCCGTCTAAACTCCTTTTCTCACACCTTTTCTGACCCCCAGATGGACTCGGCTCTCCCCCCGGTGCAGAAACTCGTGGTTCCTTCGGTGGCTTCCTTCTCCTCCAACCGGGCCGTGTCCTTCCGGCCCACCCTGACCCCGGGGGGGCCGGGCCGGGCCCTGGACCGGCCCCCGAGGGAGAAAACGGTAAGCAGCGGGGATCACAGGCCGACTCTGGGAGACTCGATAGGGGTTTAACTCTTTTAACTCTTTACTTTATTCCTGCAGCCCACAAGACAATCACCACAACTCCCCGAAGCATCCCCAGGTCCCTCTCAAAGGTAAAACTGAAAACAGACGACTTGGTGTTTTTCATTTTCCTGTGTCGAGAAGTATTTTTTGTTTTTTAGTTTTTTTCTTTTCATCCAACTGTATCCAAGCAAATCTGTTCAAAATCTGCTTACGAAGCCTAAACGGACTCATTTTTCAACATCCAAAGTGAAATTTGATCAAATATTTGACTCCACACCCAAAGTAAATTTCTAACATGACGTCAAAGTCATAGAAAAAAATAAAATAAATGAAAATAAATAAGCTAAGTTAATTTAAAGTTCAGGTAGTAAAGTCAGAGTAAGTTAGTCTCCACCTCTACCTGCCAATAAAAACCCTTTTTGTTGATTAGTTCTTTATCATTTCTTTCTTTTTACATCTCTCTTATATAATTAATTTTCTTTATTACTATGTGTAACTATCTGCAGTATTTATTAAGGAGTTATCGTAGGTTTTTGGAACGAATTATAGGAATTACAGTGTATTCTGATGGGAATATTTGAACCAACATCCAAATATTTTAACATACGAAGTCGGTCCTGGAACCAGTTAAATTCCTATGTAGATTTTTCTCCTGAACTAAAGTAAGGCATTTAAATGGAGCCTGAATGATGTTTTCCTAATGCTCGGTCTGTGTGTGGTTTAGCACAACGGGCTTCGGCGGCCCGGCCTATCCTCTGTCCAGCACCCCGGCCATCAGCCTGAGCTCCGGAGGGGGGAAGATCAAGAGGGAGAGGAGCAGCATGCGGCCCTCCAAGCGGGCCGAGGAAGACGAGGTGAGGGCTTCACACATCCGGGAGGGATGTTTCCATCTTGGTAACCCAAAGACGAGCTTGTGTTTGTGCTTAAAGGAGACATCTTATACCCTATTTCAACAAGTTAAGCTAGTTCCCTGGTGTCCTGATGTAATGTCTGTGAAAAGCTTTGGTCAAAATCCCATAAGGATGAAGCCCAATAGCAGTTCAG